GGTTTTTATCATGCTAAGGATATTTGGGATGCTTTAGAGAAAAAATATGGGACTGATGATGCTGGTACTAAACGTTATTGTGTTAATAAGTGGTTGAATTTTCAAGTTGTTGATGATAAGCCTATTATAGATCAGGTGCTGAAGGTCTGTCTATTTGTGATAATACCCTTGCTATTGTTTTGATTGAGAAACTCCCTTCCTCTTTGAAGGATTTTCGCAACCAATTGATGCACAAAAAGAAAGACCTAAACTTAGATGAGCTTATAGGACACCTCCAAATTGAGGAGGAAAACCGTATCAAAGACATAGGCAATTCTGTTTTCCCTTCCTCTTCTTCTGCCAAAGCCAATGTTGTTGAACCCAAACCAAACAACCAGTCTAAATCCTAAAACGGTTATCTTAAGCCTAAAGGGACGATTGAGAAGTACAAGTTTAAGGGTACCTGTTTTGAGTGTGGTTTGACTGGTCACAAGGCTAAGGATTGCAGAGTGAAGAAGTACAAGGATAGACAGACTCAAGGGAATCTTATTGAGGATTCTAACATTATTGTTGCTGTTATTTTAGAAGCTAACTTTACAGGTAATGCTGCTGAGTGGATTGTTGACACTGGAGCAACCAGGCACATCTACGCCAATAAGGACATGTTCACCACCTATGACAAGGTTGAAGGTGAAAATTTCTTCATGGGCAACTCAGCTTCTGCCTCTATCCTAGGCAAAGGGAAGATGGTTCTCACTCTCACTTCTGAAAAATTGCTTACTCTCACTAATGTTTTGCATGTTCCTGAAATGTGTAGGAATTCATTATCTGGCAGTTTGCTCATGAGAGTTGGACTGAAGCTCTCCTTTGATTTTGATAGATTAGTTCTTGCTCGCAATGGGGGATTTATGGGGAACGGCTTTTGTAATGGGGGGCTTTATACTCTTAATGTTAAAATTAACATTATTAATATGAATGCTAGTACTTCTTCTGCTTATATTGCTGAGTCTATTGATTTGTGGCATGCTAGATTGGGTTACGTTAACATTGATTCGATTAAAAGGCTTAAACATTTAAATTTGATTCCACAATTTTCTAACACTGATTTTTCGAAATGTCAAATTTGTGTTGAAGCCAAATTCACAAAGAAGCCATTATTTAAATCAGTAGATAGATAGACTACAGTACTAGAACTTGTTCATAGTTACTTGGGTGATTTTAATAATCACGAGAGTAGAGGAGGTAAAAAGTATTATAATACTTTTGTTGATGATTGTTCACGTTTTTGCTTGGTTTATCTTCTCAGGTCTAAGGACGAAGCCGAGGAAATGTTCCTCAAATATAAAGCTGAGGTAGAAAACCAATTGAACAAGAAGATTAAGAGGGTTAGGAGTGACAGGGGTGGTGAGTACAACCCTGACACCCTTACGACATTTTGTGAGCAACTCGGCATCGTACATGAGACGATAGCTCCTTATTCACCTGAACAAAACGGTATAGCTGAAAGAAAAAATAGAACTTTTTAGAATATGATGAATTCTATGCTTTTTAGCTCTGGGCTTCCTAATAACATGTGGGCGGAGGCTATTCTTTCTGCTTGTCATGTTTTGAACATGGTTCCTCATAAGAAGCTTGACAAGACTCCATACAAAATATGGAAAGGTCGAGTACCAAACCTGAAATACTTGAAAGTGTGGGGGTGCCTATCAAAACTAGGCATACCTAGTTTCAAGAGGGATAAAATTGGTTGTAAAACTGTTGACGCTATTTTTGTTGGCTATGCTTATTAAAGTGCAGCTTATCGTTTCTTTGTTAAAGGTGCTAACAACTCTTATGCAGGTGGTCATATCATTGAGGTAAGAGATGTAGAATTCTTTGAAAAAAAATTTCCTTGGAAAATGCTCCACCTAATGACAGTGAATTACCTGTTAGTAGTTTTGTTAGTTTACCTTTTTCTAATGCTCCTATTACTAACGATGATTCTGTTTTGGAGCCAAGGAGAAGCAAAAGGGAACGAAAGAACAGTTTGGGTCCTGATTTTATAACTTCCTTTCTATCTGAATCTTCCTTAATTGATGATGATTTTGTGCATATCTTTGTTTTGGAAGATGATCCAAAAACCTATGACGAGGCAATGAGGTCAGTTGATGCTGGTTTTTGGAAAGAAGAATTTGATAGTGAATTGCAATCAATTCTCAATAATAACACTTGGGTATTGGTTGAACTTCCTAGAGGTTGCAAGCCCATTACTTGTAAATGGATCCTTAGGAAAAAATTGAAAGCCGATGGACAAGTATAAGGCAAGGATAGTGGTAAGGGGTTTTACTCAAAAGTTTGGCATCGATTATTTTGATAATTACTCCCCTGTCACTAAAATTGCAATCATTAGGACTTTAATTGCTCTTGCTTGCATTTTTTATCTTGTTGTTCACCAAATGGATGTCAAAACTGCATTTTTGAATAGTGACTTGGATGAGGAAATTTACATGGTCCAACCTGAAGGGTTCATTGTTCTGGGCCAAGAAAACAAGGTTTGTAAGTTATTCAAGTCATTGTATAGGCTTAAGCAAGCTCTAAAGCAATGGCATGACAAATTCGATAAGACTATGACTGGTAATGGTTTTCATATTAATGAAGATGACTCTTGTGTTTATTCTAAGCATGATAGTCTTGGTTGTGTGATTATTTGTCTTTATGTGGATGACATTTTAATTTTTGGGACTGACTTGGATCGAGTAAATAAGACAAAACAGTTTTTGAGTTCGAATTTTGAAATGAAAGACATCGGTGAGGTAGATGTGATTTTGGGAGTAAAAATCAAAAGGACTCCAAATGGCATCTGCCTTAATCAGTCACACTATGTTGAAAAACTTCATAAAAAGTTTGACTCGTTTAATGTCGATCGAGTTAAGACTCCATATGACCCGAGCTTCCACCTAAAAAAAATAATGGTGATCCAGTTGATCAGTCTGAATATGCTAAAATTATTGGTAGTGTTATGTTTCTTATGAACTACACTAGACCTGACATTTCTTATTCTGTTAGTAGGTTGAGCAGGTACACGCATAACCTGAATGTGATTATTGGGTTGCTCTAAAGAGGTTGCTTAGATACCTTAAGGGTTTTATGTATTGGGGTTTGCACTACTCCAAACACTACGAGAAAAAAGATCTTTGGCACTGGTTCAAACCCCCCTTTGGGCACCGGTTTTGAATCGTTGAAGACTTGAGGGATGCCAAATCTCTGAAAATTTGGCACCGGTTCAAAATCGGTGGCTATTTAAAGATTTGGCACCGGTTAACCAGTGCTAAATACCCTATTTGGCACCGGTTAACCGGTGCTAATTACCCATGGCGCGCTTTTTTTTTTTTATTTCAATACAATAGGCACCGATTATGATTTAGAACCGGTGCCAAAAGTCCCCAAAAAAATTAAAAAAAAACTTTTAGCACCAGTTCTTTTCCAAAACCGGTGCCAAAAATTGTACCAAATACTTATATATAATCATAATATACATAAAACACATATATTTTCTTCAATAAAAAAAATAAAAAATAAAAAAACACTTGAGATTTCAGTTGAATGTTGACTAGTACATCATGAAAAACAGAAATTTAAACAAGAAAGGACAAATTCTCAAACAAACTATTACCATCTGCACTGGTCACTGGTGAAATTCCAGTCAAGCAATTGATAGTAGTAGTTTTACCAGCTCCATTAGGGCCTAAAAGACAAAATAGCTGATCCTTAGCAAGATTCACGCATATTTCTTGGAGAAATCGACAAATAAATCTTAGCAGCCAGCAGCAACTCAAGGCATATACTAAATGAGCAGCAAAGACAGCAGAAGAATGAAATACTCTAGACTTCCATTCACCAGCACCAGTAGGGTAAGGGGAATGTTATCCTAATAGAAGTATGGATGCTATGAACCATAATTGATCACTTAAAATGCGATATCACTTAGCCCTAAAATATTAGGTCAAGGATATATCTTTCTGACTCACTGAATTGCACAATTATAGCATTGATATTGTCAAAAATTACATAACAATGCGATTCAATCATGATAAAATCCACTAATGTACAATATACAGGCTAACAACTAGAAAAATGATCATCATTGTTATGAATTCATCATTACATCAATATTACCAATAATACCTGTTTGAGATGACATCTGCGCACTTTGACAGAACAACATTCAGATACAGGCTACTAAGTTCAGACAATAGTTTTTCATGGGAAAAATTAGCCGATGTTGATCAATCAGATACTAACCATGTGTTTGGTAAAAGAATGTGAGGATGCTTTTAATGACCAATTTACACTCCCACTTCACCAAAGTCAAAGCGATCAGTTCCAAAAACATTTACATTTTTTCATAAGAGGCAAGAAGAGCAAAAACAGTGAAAATGCTACTTTATCCCAGGCAATACTCATATCCTAGCCAATGTAAATTAGGAAATAACTAAATAAGAAATGACAAGGTAATAAATTTTATCCTGTTCAATCTCTCCCCTCAACTAATGTAGATGATCTGACCACATAAGCAAAAACATGGAGTCAAAAATCATGTCATTGAGGAACGGTTGCTATACTATTTGAGCATAACTTCAAAAGGTAATATTTAGGCCTCAAGGAAAAGTAAATTATAGATATGTCTATGCCATGCAATTAAGAATTCAATATAAGACTTAAAAAATAGCAACACATGATGATATCAGATAAATAAAGTAGACAAGACTTGCCTTGTCTTGACCTCCGACATCCCACACGGTAAAGCTGATGTTCTTGTATTCCATAGTCTCCATATTAAATCTTGTAAACACATAAGAGCAAGTTCCAAGTACATTATACACAGCCGAGTATATGTAAAAAGCATCAACAAGTCCAAGACATAAGATCAGACCAATACCACAAGGCAAAAACATATGTATTTTGATAAAGTAGAGCTTTAATCAGATGTAAATAGGTAGTGTTGATAATGTAAGAAAATCAGAAACACAAGAATACCATAGGACAAAAGAAGCAATTGCACCTATCATCAGAATCAATATACAAGAGGCTAGAAAACACATTTCCCACGAAAGAGGATTTGATAGCAACTAGAGCTCTTGAAAGCTGCAACAAATTAAAAAGATTTTTGAGATACAGCAAGCTGAGATATAGCAAGCTGATGTGGACATTAAAGAAGAGTGAGAATTTAACCCTAGAGCACCAAAATTTCTTATAACTGAACCTAAATTGGAAGCAGAGAAGGTGGATCTCGTTTCAATCTATTTTTGGAAATATCTTATTTACTTTAACTAATTTCAATCTGCTATTAGAATTATCTTAATTACTTTAACTAATTTCAATCTACTTTTAGACTTGGTGGTGATGGGCTTGCAGGCGAGGGACTTGCAGGTGAGGGATTGCCTCCCGCATGAGGCCTTTTAAAATACTTGGACATGAAGGACTCAGCAACTGATTGGTACTTTCCCTTAACATAAGTCTCCAAGCACTTGATGTATGAGAAGTCCACATTATGCCCATCCATTAAAACGACATAAAAGCAACGACTTTCTTGGAAGTTGCTATGCTTTTTAACCTGCATATAGCAATATAAAAAGATTTTAGAAGTTATTTAGACTTCATAAAAAAAATAAAAAAGGATTTCAATAGCAAGAGCTATGTATAGCTTACCATAATAAAATCAACTTCAGCCCCAATTTTATCCGTTTATCAGGATGGTAGTTCAGTACATTGTCAATAACATATTTTTGATCATCAGGAGGGAGTGGTTCTCCATGATCATTACACCTAATAAATAAAGAAATGCAATCAGAATGATGTACAAAAATTTCTCGTCTATGTAGTTCTCACCCATCACAAGATTCTACCCCCCATTACATAATTCCAACTACCTACATAAATCATACAAATAGCCAGAAGAAACAAACCAAGTCCTGCACAACAGAACAAGCAGGAAGTGACTAATGAGTACAAAGGTCTATGAAATAACAATGATCATAGTTAGACATGATAAGTTGATAAAATTCTATGAAAGAGATGTTACTAATCATCTTGTTTTCCCTCTCTGGTATTCAGCATGTCCAGAACAACAAAACAGCTTTTTGAAAACATTCCTTTTCTTACTCAATGGCCTTCCTCCTCTCAAGGGCAGACTCTCTGCACCTCTCCATTTCTTCAGTTACTTCCGCAGAGTGTTTACATTTAAACATATCTAGCTTACTTTTCGAGGAATGTAGTTTACTTTTCAATGTAATTTTAAATTTACTCATTGATGCATTCAAAGTTCAAATAGATGTGCAATGAAAAACTAGAAAATACGTAGTATCAAACTTTGCTGAATGTAAAACAACATATACAACAGGCACTCCAGGGTCGGTCTGAAAAGACATGTGGATTAGCCAAGGGGAAGCTAAATGAGGTAATAAGAATTGCTAAATGAGCTAAGTGATTGCCATTTACAGCAATGTGAGAATTAAATTGCTGGCTTGCAGCTACAGGATAAATATCCAAGTGTTAACATGCTAATTGCCATTTAGGCTGCTCTAAAAGGAATGCTAAATTGTTAATTATAGGGGAGAGAGAGCATTTCAACCATGTTTAAGGAGTTTAGGTAAAGAAAATTCAAGTCCGTCCATTATAGTCCTTTTCATTAGAGATTATCATGGTTCATCAGGCAAATTAAAGGAAAAACCATCATCTTACCTCGAAGCTGGTTCAATGGTGGTGAGAAAGCTCAGAATCGGTGGAGGTGTAGCCGTGACAAGGAGGCCGTTAGGGTGGAGGTGTAGCCGTGCGCGCTTCAATGACAAACCCTATATTACCACAACCCTAAAATTACTAAATTGAATAGAAAATCAACGACAAACCCTAGATTGGGAAAGAAAATCAATGAATTCGCACAACCACAAGAAAAATCTTACGTCGAAGTGAGTTCAATAGAGGCCAGAGCTGGTTTAATGGAGGTGCTGCTTCAATGGAGTGAGAAAGCGAGTAAACCAATTCAATGGAGAGAGAGCGAGCTGCTTCAATGGAGTACAGAAGGAGATGCGAAAACGAGAGGGAGATGAGAAAACGGAGAGGGAAAGCTGGGAGGAAGAGCAGGAGATGCGAAAATGGGAGGGAATTGAAAGAGAAGAGCAGAACGAAGAGGGAAATTCGAGTACGCTTCAATGGAGGAGAGAGAGAGGCATATCAGATGAGAGAGGAGGAAAGGTCAAGGAAATGAAAGCAAGAGAAATAAAGAGTATATATCCGGGTTTTTTTTTTATTTTACAATAGATTTCGCACCGGTTCGAACCGAACCGGTGCCAAATCCCTTTCTCCCCCTATTTTTTTTTCTCTTTTTTAATTGGCACCGGTTTGAACCGGTGCGAAAAGTATAAATCCCAACCGGTTTAATAGGAATTGGTGCCAAAAGTCTGTATTCCTAATCCCGCCCATTTCTTTCCCACCGGTTTTCAAAAACCGGTGCCAAAAGTGCGGTGCCGATTTCCTTTTTTCTACTAGTGAAATTTCCAGGAGTTTTGGAGTGTTTTTGTGATGCCAACTGGGTACCCGACAATGATGAAGTTAACTCTACTAGTGGCTATGTCTTCACCCTTGGGGGTGGAGCCATATCCTGGAAATCTTGTAAGCAATCTTGCACTGCTATGTCTACTAAGGGATCTTAGTTTATTGCTCTTGAATTGGAAAGTCATGAGGAAAAATGGTTGAGGAACATGCTTGCTGATATTCCATTGTGGGGGAAGCTAGCTCCTTCAATTCCACTTCATTGTGATTCACAAGTTGCAATTGTTGTTGCACACAACCATGCCTATAATGGAGAGAAGAGACACATTCGTCTGAGGCATAAGGCCGTCAGAAATTTGTTGTATGTAGGGGTGATATCACAGGAATATTTTAAGTCTGAAAATAACATTGCGGATCAGTTAACTAAAGGCCTATGTAGAAAACTAATTTTGAAAACATTGGAAGAGATAGGGCTAAAGCCCGTTGTATCAATTGTGAAATAGTGAACTCCTACTCACCATTAGTTCAAAGGGGAACATTATATAATAATTTGGAAGCACAGTTTTATTTCTGTCCATCTCTAGATGTTTGTTTTGTGCTTAGCTACAAATGAGAAAGAGGTTGAGCATATGGCTCTTAATGAACACATATCCATATTTTTCGAGGTTTGTTGTAGCTCACACTTGATGATATTCACCTACTTAGGTGTGGAAGTCTGGCCACTTCCTATGAGTATTTTGTGGGCTTATACTCTAGAGCACCTATGAGCATCTAGGCTTGGACGTATGGCAAGTATAACGTGTCACCTTTATTCGCGGAATTTCAGAATATTATACATGTTCAATTGTGTTGCTCAAAGTGACAGGTCCCTAACTCCCTATTGAGTTAAAGACGAAGGTCACTTGGTAGTGAGAGATCATAGCTTGATGTCCACTTTGTGTTAATTCAAGTCGCGAGACATTGACACTTATGCAATTGCTTGTTTTGCCTAGAATTATTTTTCCTTCATTTCTTTTTCATATCTTCGAACCTGTGGGGGATTGTTGGAAGTTCTTTATACAAAACAAGAGTGTTGGAAGAAAACAAAAGAGAGAGATGAAAGGGGAAAATCCCACATTGTTGGGGGAAAGGTTTTTTCCTTGTATATATATTGTAGTATATTAGTACTACTTAGTTGAGTGACTTGGAGGTGGGTGTTGTACCATAAACAGGCACGCGCGCGCGCTGAGCTGGGACGGGTCAGGTCGGGTCGGGCTCGGTACTCGGGACTTGGGGTCTTGGGGAATGCGATGCGCGGGCGTGGGTCCCTCTTAACTTTTTGGAGAAATTTTATTTCCTTTCCTTGTTGACAGGATATTTCTATGTAATTCGTTTTTTACTGTTGGAATTTTCTGACTTTTAGGAATTTATTCAGCCATTAATTCCTTGATTATAGCTGAGCGTTTCCTTGATTTTAACTGAACATTGCTTAGGTTTTGGCTTTAATTATTTGGTCGTTTCTTCCCTTTTTCTTGCTGGCCGTTGCTCTCTGTTACTCTATATAAACCTCTTTTTGTTTATTCGATTAATACACATTAATGAACAGTCTTCTCTATTCTATAAAATAATCTAAACACAAATTCTTATTCTTTCTGTTTTCTAGGCAAATGTTCTGAGTTCCAGTCAGGTTTGTGAGTGCACATAAACTCCAGCGTCGTGCTTATCCTGGAGGGCGACCGCTTCTTGTCTACTGCGCCATGAGGTAGCGCGGAATCGTCTTTTAGGTTAGTGGTTCGCCACGACACGGCTACTGTCAATTTTGATTCACGCATCAAGAGATAAGTAACTATTGTTTTATTGCTTATAGTATAACAGTCGAAACATTAGAGTACCTTTTTTCTGCAGGAAAGAACGTCAAAGCGGAGGTGGAAAAAAAAATCGCCACCTTTATTGTATAAATTGAGATTCTTGGTTTAAAAAAAAAAAATTGAGATTCTTGGTTTTAAAAAAAAAAAAAATTGAGATTCTTGATTTTTCGACGCTTCTAAGACCATTAGGAACCAACATACCCAAAAAAAGGCACCTGATCATAAGACCTGCGACGTGAAAATGGACCTTGACTACTTCGTTTCTTCCGCCATACCATCTCAAGTTCAGAAAGTGTACAAGAATGTGTAGTGGGCTTAGAGTGCAACCCACTAAATGAGAAGGAAGAAGTAGCACCGTCATCCTTAAAAGAAAGAGTTGCGAAATGAGTAGGAACAGTAAATTTGGCAAAATTAATCTAATTTAGTAAAAATAATTTAACTTTAATACGGCCTCGTTCATTTCACCTTATTTTTGCTCAAATAAAATTATTTTTATTGAATTGAAACTATTTTTGCGAACTTAAATTATTTTTCATGAACTAAAATTAATTTTATTGAACTGAAATTACTTTTGCTGAACTAAATTTATTTTTACTGATTTTCTATTATGTTTCTTCTTTAAAGATACTGAATTTTTACTGAACTGAACTTATTCTTACTGAACCAAAATTATTTTTGCTGAACTGAACTGATATTATTTTTTACTGAACTGAAATTTCTTTTACTGAACTGAAATGATTTTTACTTAATATTATTTTTTTAAGGTGAAGTAAACAGGGCCTAAAAATTAATAATGTTTGATGAAGAATAAAAACGTCGTCTTAACCTTTTTTTGCCTTTTTTTTTAATATAGAGAGAATAATGTCTAATATAAGTATAAAGCAAACTTCAAAAGTAAAATAATGCACATATTTAAAATTTAAACTTAAGAAATGCAATTGAAAATACTTTCTCTATTTACTTCTATTTGCAACATAGCCTTTGGGTACATTTCTTTAGGATGGAGGTGATTAGAGAAGTAAACATGCAAATTTATCAAATTAAAATAATTTTAACATCAAGAATTAAGAAAGGTTAGGTACTACGTGTATATATAAATTATTTTGATTATTTTGTTCGTTTACAGTACTTAATCTGTCCCTCAAAGAATAAATGTGCCATTAACACGAGTTGCAAAAAAATAAAAATAAAAATAAAAAAAATTAAATATATATATATATATATATATATATATATATATATATATATATATATATATATATATATTAGCTAGAGGTGTCAAAACATACGCGCAGACACAATAATTTAACATTAATCAAAATTTAAAATTACACTCGATCTCACCTAAGATAACGCTCAAAAAGTATTTTCCATTGTTTTTTTAGCTAATGCTTTTCTCGATTTGGGGATCCACCACTTTATCAACAATCATTCCACACGTAATTCATCTTGTTCATAGATGATTTATATAAACTTACTTTTTTTGGTAAAGTTGATTTATATAAACTAAGATCACGTTATTCAACTCATCAACAATAATTATTGGAATTCTACAAATCGCAAGGGGAGCAGGTACTTGATTATCACGTAATTTGTCACATAAAAATTTATAAAAATGTAATCTTAATTATAATGACACATCTTGAATTTAATTTTGGCCGCGTTTGGCAAATGATTGGTTGTTGGGTATTTTTATTTTCTCCTAATTTAATTGACTATTTTCATTGATTGTTGTTTTTGATGATTGTTTGACCATTACTTGATTTTAAACTCAGGTTATTCATCGTATGTTTTAATAGATGATTTTTATAAGTTCACGTTATTCATCGTACTGACAATAGTTAGTGGAATTATGCAAATCTACCAATAGCAAGGGGGCAGGTTATTTGTCGCAAAAGTTGTCAAAAAAATAAAGTTGTTAAACCTTATTCTTAATTACAGTAATACGTCTTCAAATAATTTGTATGATAATGCAATTATGTAAAAAATTGCAATGATACGGCTTGCTTTCTCATTTATGACTAAATCAATATATATGTGATATAAAATTCTTAACCCTAGAATCAAAAGATATACTAGGATATTAGGAAGTCTAACTAAAATACCCAAGATAATATTTTCTAACAAATATCCTAACAAATATAAGATACGATATTATCTCAATATATCTAAATACCCCTCTCAAGTTGGAGCATGCAGATCAAAAATGCCAACTTGGAAAGAAGGAAATCAAACTGTGATTTGCCAATAGCCTTTGTACAAAAGTCCGCAACTTGAGATGAAGTCGAAACATGAGAAGGAGAAATCAAGCCTTCATTAATTGCATCGCAAACAAAGTGACAGTCAACCTCAATGTGCTTTGTTCGTTCATGAAAAACCAGATTCTTTGCTATGTGTAATGCCGACTCAATGTCACAAAACAACTTAATTGCCTTTGGATGTTGAACACTCAGACTTAACAATAGAGCTTTAAGCCAATTTAGGTCACATGTGAACGCAGCCATGGACCTATATTCGGCTTTCGCAGAAGACCGAAACACT